TGTGCTTGATATAAATGTGTGATATGTATAAAAAACATTTGGCAACAAACTTGATTTAGCAGACTGTGCTTTCTGCCAAAATTGCTAAATAGAATACACCACTAAATGTAATACCTTTACAGTAAAAGGCAAAATTCTTGCAATCATCAATGATCAGTCACATTTGCTAAACACTGTGACATTTTAGCTCACCTTTCCACTGGTATTGAGGAGTAAGATGCGTAGTTCTGTACCCCCTCGTTCTCTCAGGACATCAAGATCAGACAAGTGGTCCAGATTTCCTCCAGACACCAAAATCTTCTGGATTTCTTGCCATCTGTAAAAAAAACATAGAATTTATTAGAATCAATTAAACCATAGAGATGAATTCTGTTCTAATGAAGTATTGCTTCTTGCATGAATTACACCTTCTCTTTAACCCACCTCAAATTTTAACACATACATGTATGTACAAGGATTGTGTATTTAACACTGAAAAGTGTAAATGTTATCAAACTGATAATTTTATTAAAAGCAGTATTGGTGGATAATAGGTTTAAATTAAGCAATAAATTTCTGAATAAATGTATGACTTATTTTTTAAAATAAAACCTACTTGGTAGCGATTTTCCTGCATTGGTACTCATGCAGGACATAGATATCACCGCGCGTCGTCATACACACAGTCGCTGCATCAGAACATGACACCATGACGATGGAGATGTCGGGGTGATTTAGGTTGGAAACTTGTCTTAGCTGGGTCTGCTTCTCTGCTCCCTTAGGGTGACCTAAAAATAGTAACAAATTAAAGTATTTAAAGGTCATCAGACTAAATAAATATCAAGGTTTAAAAGATCTCAGGCAAACTTTTTCTTCAGTTAGGCTAAAGATCAAGTTCAAGGTCATCTGATCGGTAACATTAGCAATAAATTAGATATTTTGATCAGCGATACTCTTTCAGAAATTCTATCTTTTTTTTCTTCTTATGATTCAAAAATATTGGACAAAGGTTATTTGATCAAGAGAACTCGACTAGATTTTTCACTTTAAAATTCTTTTAAATCAAAAATTTTATTTACAATTATTTCAATAACAAATGTAAACCTTATTAAAGCTAAATAAAGATAGAATATTGATTTTGGAGTTATAATGATTTTAAGAAGGATCATACCTAACTGTCCGGCATTCAGTCCACACGTGTACACAGCATCACTCGTGTATAAGACAGTGTGAAATCTCCCAACACACACACCCTTAATAGACTTCCCCTTAATGTTCTTACCAGTCACCTAAAAAGGAAAAAATATTCAGTCTCTGTTAGTACTTTCATCTTAATTTAACATGTACCTGTTAAGGGATCAGCTGATTTTTTTAGTGTTACCTGTTTGGGAATGAGGGATTTAGGTATGGTAGATGACTGCCCCAGTTGATGGCTATCATTCAGTCCACAGGAGTACACTGAACCACTGAAAACACCATAATTCAAAAACATGAATAAGAAATTTATAAATAGATGTAACCTTCAAAATAACCATCACAGTTAAAGTATTATGGTATGGTGCATAAATAGGAAAGTTAGCACTGAAGGTAACCTCTGATAAAATTGTTTAGTATACTTCAGAATCAATCCAGAAGATACGAATTTAGGGCTGGGTATTGGCCCGAGATTTCGTATTGCAATATATTGCGATATTTGTTACTGTATTGCGATATGTATTACAATATTTTCAATGTAATTTAAATGGCATTTTCTTACTATATTTACTTTAATTTACATTCAGAATGTACATAACTATGATAAGTAAACAAACACTGACAACAAAATTGTTGATTTCATTGAAGTTATGCTCTGAAATGTTCCCACAAAACACTTCTGTCCTGCTGTTTGGCTTAATAACAAACTTTCATAAAACCATTTTTATATTTAATGACAAAATTCCTTAATCTAAGCATATTGCCAACATATCAATATTACAAAATCGTATTGCGATACGATATTTTTTGTCATTGTATTGCAATATATTGAAATATCGATATTATTGCCCAGCCCTATACGAATTCAATCGATATGATGATATACCTCTTGTTTACAATACATGACCTACTTACTCAGTGAGGAGGAACACTGTGTGATCTCTAGAGGCCACGACCTGAGTACAGATTTGACCTTTCAATGTCTCCACCTGCCTAGGAACCTAAAAGCAAAGGAAAGATAACTCCAATATAAAATAATCATCGATTTCCCTGTATGGTTTATAATTATTATACTGCATAGTGTCCTGTAAGTTATAGTAATTATTATCATACCTGTATGGTTTATAATTACTATACTGTGTGTATTTGTATTTACCTGTATGGTTATACTGTGTTAGTACCTGTAATTACCTGTAGTTGTACTTACTGTGTAGGTCTGTTCGTCCCCGTGCCCTAACCTCCCTCCCTGGCCGTGTCCACAGGTGTACACTTGACCATCAGTCGTCAGAAACACAGAGTGGTATTTACATAACACAGCCTGCAGCAAATAAAATTTTACTCCTGGTCAACTTGCACAGAAAGGAAAATAGTCAGTGATGGAATGCAATGATTTCAGAATGAAGAGGCTTTGAAACACACACTTTGGTAGTAGATCATTAAACCCTGCTCTGCTTCCAAATAATTAATTAATCTTAGAATCTTATAATACAGATTGCTACTCCATTCTCTCTAATATTGCACCCACACTGTAGTCTAGGAATACATGTACATTGCCATGAACTGTTTCCTCATGTCTATATCCATGTGTCTCCCTGTACTTCTTAACCCGTACATCGAGACACCTTTCTTACCTCTTTCACTGAGACACTTTTCTTACCTCTTTCACTGAGATACCATTCTTTCTGAACTCTTCAATGACCTCTGGGTGACCTCTCCTCTGCTCCTTACCATGACCCAGGGTCAAATTGGTGTTATCTCCCCAGGTATAGACATCTGACAGATCTGAAAGATCAAATCCATATAATTATGATTCACACTGTTCTACTAAATTAATAGAAAACTGTCAAGTTAAAAAGAATATATTTTCTCCTAAACTTAAGAGGGTTACTTTTACTTTTAGATACCAATTATTGCTCATAATTTTGCCTGTCACAGAATGGACTCTGATTTAGATTTATGATTTCAAAATTTAACTGCAAATAATGAGGGCAACAACAGATTACATGATGTGATATCTACCTCCTTTATCGTATGAGATGTGAGGTGGGCGGTCCATCATAGCAACATCTAGTGGACTCAGTCCTAGGTGATCCCGAGTGTACAGATCACTATTATACTGAAATCATAGAAAAAAGTAGAAAAAGTTGGCTTCATGACTAAAAGATGGTTTTAATGGTGACTCTCATTTGTTTTGTGTATGCAGCAATAGTCAGATTTAATTCCCATAATCAGATATACTGGTAGTCATCAATCAAATGAATCAAAATTGTTCATCTTGGCACTTTTCTTTGTGTTTTACTGTATGTATCTTAGATGATTTATCACAAATTCTGCTTTAATCAAATTCAACTTTCACAGATGTATTCGTACCTGAATAAGAAGTCTAGCTGCTGCCAGCTGTCCGTAAAACAAGGCTCTATGGAGGGCGGTCCACCCAGACTCCGCGTCCTTCAGGGTCAGGTCACCACCTTTCTCCTCCAGCAGCCACTCCACGACCTCCACTTTACCACACGAGGCAGCCACGTGGAGGGCTGACCTCCCAAACATGTCATTGTGGTGCCCCGCGGTGTAACACAGCCGGGCAAAAGCCTGGACCTCCAGAAGCGTTCCCTTGGTGATGGCTGCAACCAGTTCATAGGCATGGTTCTTAGAGCGGCACTTAGGGCCACATTCGGGGTCAAAGGTTATAGGCATTGCTTATTAATAAGTAGTTGACTTAAAAGTATGTTTACAGGTTAGAATGTTAATGAAATGTTTCTTTCACAAGGAAAAATGAAAACAGGGGAAATGAATATAATAAATAAATTAAAGTTAATTATGAATGAATAACAGAACAAGTGAGCACGTTCCTCTTCAGTGAAGTGGCTGGCTGTATTTACATATATAACGCTGGATGCCAGCTACAAGTTTGTATATAATGGATGCCCACACAGGGCAGCCATTGTTGTTTTCATATTCAAAAAGCCATACTTGCATTGGAGGAACCTACAATGGAAAAAGAAATTAGTCTATTGAGCTCGCTTTGCAAGCAACATTTTGCACTGCTATGTTTAAAAGTGCATGCCTATGATTTAACATAAATACTCGCATTGAACTATTCCAACTCCAAATAAAACAGGATACATCAGATTGATGCAATCAAGATATATGCTTATTATTTCTTTTATCTTGATCCCCAAATGGACATAACTCAATGTGATTCTTGATCTGTGGCCTTATGATATGTGATATGTTTGTCTGAATTTCCCCTACAGATATATAGAAACGGTTTTGCAACTGTGACATATATTAGTGCACATCTAAAAAAAGGTTTAATTTTCTACAAAATCCTAAATAGGAGTTTTCTCAAATTAAAAAAATGTCTACACCACATAGGATATATTGATGCCTTACTCCGTTAAGCGTCGGAACTCACCAAGTTAGCTGAAAGATATTTTACTGAAAATAAAATTCCTGGTGATTGAGGCTTCAGAAAAAGACTTCATGATGATAAAACACCTAACATACGCGTATCATACGTGTTCATTTGATGGAGTTTTCGCCCAATTTCATAACAGGAAGAAATCTAGGAAAGGTAACTTGACAGTAATTTTGTTAAACTGCATATTTCCGGACTCTCATCAATCGGCTCTCAATTAACAATTATTTGAACTGAATATTGAAGTAAATTAATGCATTGATGTTTTAAGTAAACGTCTACATAAATGAGAAATGTAGGTAAATATTACCAAATTATTTGAAAACCGGTTTATTTTTATTCGGAAATAAGAAATCTGACCATAAGTATTTTAACCTTTATCCTGTAAAATTTCCAAATAAGGAAACACTCAGATCGCCACTTCCGTGTAAAACACATGTTATGAGTAACACAATCTGATAGAGATAATTTAAGGTATTAAATCAGTCTAAAAGGAGGTTAAAGATATTGTTACCAACACAAGTCATACGAACCTCGAGGACAATCGTTTAAATGCAGGTAAACTATTTTTTCTCTACTTCTTAAAAAGGAAATTAGGAATGAAAAATTGAAAAAAAAAAAAATACATGAATTAGAAGTTGGTATGCATTCGTATTATTTTACTTGATGGTGTAAATAAATGGTTGATATATCTAAGTTCCACAACTACACACTTCGAACATGTCTTTTATTCCCCTTCCCCCTTTTCATCTCCACTGGGTATAGTTGCTTTCAAAATTTTTAAGAAATTTCCAAGGGGAAGCATTTTGTTTCAATGCTTATATGTTTCAAGTCTGCTTCTTAAGTTAAACTTAAATTATGTGATTATGATGACCCTTGAAGGGGGTTTGAGGTAATTCCATAATTTGTTAATACAATTAAGTTCTCGGTCAACACATAAAAAGAATAAAACATTCTTGTGAGGAAGTTTGAAACAATAACTTCTAGGCCCAACCCAATTTAATATATAAACATGTAGCTGGATACTTACTTCTCTTCGTCCTCTTTTTGTCCCAATGCTGACCTTTTCCGTTGACAGGACCCTAATGCTGACACCGAGTGGAATGATGTTCTACGGGCCAAGGGAATCATCCCGCCCAAAGAGAAAGAAGTCTCAGAGGATGATATCGTCAACATCATGGAAGCCACCATTCAAAGCAAAACCACAGGTCTATTAGCCTTAAATATACTTGTCTACCTTTATATCGGAGTTGTTTTTCACAAGTAATATACTGTAAATATTTAGCAGAAAGCGATTTGTAAGCAAGTTAGCGTTTATTTGATTTAGTGCATTTTTTTATATTTTTATTCATGAATCAATGTTTAAGACATTTAGCGATGTACTTGAATTAGCGGAGGTATCTTTCCGCCAAAAATGTTAAAAAGAAAACACCTCCAAATGTAATAGATTACGTTTACAGTATGTATTAACAAGTTTTCAGAATGACAGTTAGATTATACATGTATTATGTTAGGACTCTGTTAAGGCTGAAATCCTGTGAATAGCTTAGTTCCTAGAGGATGTCATTATACCATCCAGCAGTTTTTGTCCTCTAATCTCATTCTGACACTGGCATTGTTAATGCTGAAATAATAATTATTAATGCTATGATAAAACTTTCCTGTAGATAAAACATTAGATGATATGACGTTAGATGAACTTAATGAAAGAGAAGATGAGATTGATGAAGAGGAAGAGAGAATTTTTGAAGCCTACAGGTCAGTATTTTATACATGTAAATGTCTACAGGTCAGTATTTAATACATGTAAATGTCTACAGGTCAGTATTTAATACATGTAAATGTCTACAGGTCAGTATTTAATACATGTAAATGTCTACAGGTCAGTATTTTATACATGTCAATGTCTACAGGTCAGTATTTTATACATGTAAATGTCTACAGGTCAGTATTTAATACATGTAAATGTCTACAGGTCAGTATTTAATACATGTAAATGTCTACAGGTCAGTATTTTATACATGTCAATGTCTACAGGTCAGTATTTTATACATGTATAAAATGTCTACAGGTCAGTATTTTATACATGTATAAAATGTCTACAGGTCAGTATCCAGGGTTTAACACTAACTGTCACTAGTTCAGTCCCTTTCATTAAAAAGAGGGATTGGATACTTCCATATTATGGATAACGTTCACTATTCTATGCTTCGTAATTTTAGTTATGAGGATTATCACGCGAGTAATGTGTTTTCCTTTGAAATTACTGCCGGTATTCTTCTGAACAGAATTTTTTTTTAGGGAGCTGAATTTTAATTTCAATAGTTCGAAGAGTCAAAGCAATAAAGATAAATCGTAAATACTTTTAGATTTTTTGAAGAGATTATAAATGCAATTTTTTATAAATGTGCATCATTATAATCTTCTTTGAATATACATGTATACTATGTGCGTGCAAGATACCATGATGTTTTATTCCTGCTGTGATTAAGCAGAGCTTGAACTTTTATGATAATTTTCATTTTGTATGTTGTTGTTTATCATTATAAGGAGACAAAGAATGGCGGAGATGCGACAGGCTCAGATGAAGGCTAAATATGGAGAGGTCAAGGAAATATCCAAGGTCGATTACGTAACAGAGGTCAACAAAGCAGGGGAGGGGGTCTGGGTCGTTCTACATGTCTACAAACAATCGTAAGTACTACAGAGTAGAAAAAGTACTGAACATCAACAAACAATTATATTTGTGTGTTACAGCTCAGTTGCTTTGTAAAATAAAATCTGCTGTGAATGAAACTAGACTGCCCCGTACCCCAATATTAAATCAAGGGCAGTTCAACTGTTTGCTTTTTCTTCATAGATAGTCTTAGGTTACATAGTGGATTATCACTTGGAGTGCTGGTGACCTTGTATTTATTAATGATGATGTAATTTTTCCCTCTAGTCAATGCATTATGATTGCATCTTGACAAATGCATCATTTTCCTCATATCCTGTAAATTCTTTTGAAAATGGCCAAAAGTTGAAGTATTATTTACAAAATTTCATATAGAGCACAACCTCTGACCCAAAAAATGCAATTACATAATGAAAGATCTGTTTCTGAAGATAAAAAAAAAAACATGTTTTACTTTTTGGATTGTGGGCTGTTTTAATTCTTTACTGTAGGTATTCAAATACGCATGTTTTCTGCAAATTTCAAGAACATTGCAATTTTTCAATGTCTGTGTTTTCCAATATCTGGATTCTCAAAAAGGAATTTTATAATAGGAAATGAAAGCATCAAATGTGTACTTTATTTTGATATATGAAATGGGAAAGTGGGTAATATAAGTGCAGGGACATTTTATGCATAAAGCAAACATAGCTCTTTCATATTTATAAGTAGCAATTACTTTTCAAAGTAAATGACTACATATCTGAGTGGAATAAAGATTTTATATACACTGTATATGGCATGCATTAATTATGAAATAACATTTTTTCTGCTTTCAGAATTCCATTATGTAAATTATTAAATCAACACATATCAACGTTAGCAAAGAAATTTCCCGACGTAAAGTTTCTACGGAGTGAGTCCAGTGTATGCATTCCTAACTACCCTGATAAGAATCTACCTACGATATTTATATACTTCGAAGGTGACCTTAAAAAGCAATATGTTGGACCACTTGTGTTCGGAGGAATGAACTTTAAACAAGATGGTAAGAATAATTAATGTAGGAATGTAATAATTGTGAATTGATACAAAATTTCTCATCACCAGACATGATCAGTCAGGGGCACAACTCAAACAAGTTATTAAAAAAATAACTTAACTAATTTAATTTATTTTACACAAATTAAAAAAAAAAAAAAACTTAAGTTATTTTTATATCCTACTTAATGGACATTGATTTCTTGGAAATTTTAATGTGTTTCCTGCCAATTTGCTTTGCATTTTGGGATTCCATTATGTAATACTAGTTAGAGTTCACCGACACTAATGGAGAATTGGTGAGGAGGTGGAGATAAACAGCATATTACTCCTTATTTTGTTGTTTTATCCACATGGTGTATATGTCCAATTATTATCATAAAAAAAAAAATTTCCCACTTTTCCCAAGACTTCGGACACTTTTCCTGCATTGAGCAAGGTTTAAATTTTGACAAACATTTGTTTTTGTCTTGGTGCACGAGCAAAATCCTTTGGTGCACGGGGTGTGAAGTTAGGGAGGAATTACACAAATAACTTAAGATATTAATTTATTCAAGCTATTTTGGAAAAATAACATGTTTGAGTTACTAAGACTGTGAAAAAGTAGGTCATAGCAAAGAGAAGTAACTCATTGAGACAAAAAAATAACTTATTTGGGTTATTTTTGAAATTAACTTGTTTAAGTAAGGCCTAGAAAAAAAATATGTTTGTTTCCGCTTTCCCGACCGACCCTAATTTATAGTGCCGACCCTAAATATTTTTTTAATGCTTTTGTCCCATGATGTGCAAGATTTCAACCATGGAATTATAGCCTCCAACTTTGCAAGCTTTTCAAGACAGAAAGAAGTTTGGGTCACTTTTCTATTATAAGTTAAGTCACAGTAATGCTTGAAAACACCATTTCTTTTGTCATTAATGTTACTTCTATACACGATTTGATTAAAGAAGCAAAAAATTTTTTTCAAAAAAAAAAAATTGCCTACCTACCTACCCTATATTTTTTCAGCCTGAAAGCGGAAACAAACATATTTTTTTTCTAGGCCTAATGCCCCTGACTGACGATTTGGTTGTACCTTACTATTCGTATAGATTGCACATGACTACATGTATAGTGTTAAGAGTGTGGTAACTATAATTAGTTTTAGCTCACTGTGAGTGTCCAGGATGTGTCATATCAAGTCTGTTTAAGTTTCACATTACCAGAAAGAGAAAATATTGAAGGGTTTTAGCTTCTGTATCTAATTTTAAGTTTCATTAAATTTTGACCTTTGTGAAAATAGTGGGGGGGTGTCCTGAATCCTTGGATAATTTAGATTTTTATGTCCCATTGATTTCCAGATAATAAACTTGAAAGAAAAATTTAAAAGTATAAAACAGATCACCAACACTTCGTGAGAATGCAGCAGTAAATTTATTTTGTTGACCGGTTTCGACCTGTGATGGTCGTCATCAGAACAATCAAGCATGTAAATTTATCTACTGAAGTAAAAAATGCGGATGACGTTGCTATATACACAAAAAATGCGGATTGCTAATTTTTTCCATTGTGACGACACAGTCTACCCAAACAGCTTGATGAAGCAACAAAAGAATAATAATCCACAGAATTTATGGACGATTTTATTAATCAAAAAACAATAATGTTATTTACTGACTACATCTTAAGTCAGAAAAACTTTAGAGGAAACGTAAATTGATTATATAGTATAAAGTACCATTGTTAAGCAAGTCCGCATATGTGCAAAACATTCCGCATTTTATTTTGTATACAGCAACGTCATCCGCATTTTTTACTTCAGTAGATAAATCTACTTGCTTGATTGTTCTGATGACGACCGTCACAGGTCGAAACCGGTCAACAAAATAAATTTTCTGCTGCATTCTCACGATGTGTTGGTGATCTGTTTTATACTTTTATGTTTATAACTTTAGTTACAGACCCTATTGAATACCTTTCGGTATCCACACTTGAGAATCTTCCGCAATTTTAACCTCAAGGTGTTGGTCTCCAGATTTTCTTTGTTTTGAAAGAAAAATATCAAGAAAAAATTCTGATATCTTTTTCCCTATTAGTGTCTTTTTATGCTGGCATTCTGTTGTAGAACTGCATGGAGTGAATGTTATCACTTTAAGTTTCTTTTATGTTCATGTTCTGTTGTACAGCTTAAGTAGATGTTATATTATCAGAGGTTGGGGTTCTGATATGTGTTACTATAAGTATCTTTTATGTTGACATTCTGTTGTAGAGCTGGAGTGGATGTTGTCGGAGGTCGGAGTTTTGAAGACGGACTTGGAGGGACCGCCAAAACGTGAAATCCACGACGTCATGGACTCGGCTTTACGACAGAGTAGACTGGACGATGGCGACAGTGACGAAAATGACTGGTGAAACATGCTCCGTTTCTGTGAACGACAGAAGGAAAAACTGACCTTTATCTCGAAGTGCCCCTTTGATATGTTTTATGAAATGAAAAATTGCCAAAATCTGAAACTTATAAAAACAAAGTATATGATCTAACATATGAAGAATAGAGTGCAAAGTATTTACCACCAACAGGGCTGTAAAGATTGATGAAATTTAAAGTACTGTAGTTTATTTTCATCTTTATGCAGTATTTTAATTACTTTTCAGATTGGAAGATGTTTTTATCTGAACTGAACGGGGTAAAATTTATAAGAGTTGAACTTATTAACACACTTTATTTGATAAAGCACAAATGTATTTTGTGAAATGTCAAACATTATAAATGAAAAAAAAATGTGTAACAATTTAACATTAAATATGTTAAAAAAGTTTAAGTTATGGTATTAAATATGTATACAGTGTATTCCAGATCAAGGGAGCATTTTCATTTCAGGCATTTTCTGAATGAATTGAAACAGAGAGTCATAAATGTGCAAAGCAAGTTAACTGTGTTGATGAAAATTAAGTTATTGAATAATTTTTGTTTTTTGCTAATGCTCAGTATGTTTTGATACTTTTACCCCTACTTGCTAGTTATACATATGATGTTACAGTATATAATATGTATGTTTGTTGCAGCATTTTGTCAGCCATAAATGACATTTTTCACCACCAAGTTTCTAACTAAGTCAAACATTATATGTCATGATGCATACTGTATTCCAATTAAATGTGTTCAGCCAGACACGACTTTAAGATTTATCTTCTTTAGCCAAACTTGATCAGGAATTGGATTTTATTGAAGAATGTGTGAAGAATAGTGGCACAGTGGGAAGGAGGGTCATTAGCTTTCATTTTATGTACAATCCGATTAATAAGTGATATTTCAATTTTAACTGCTATGCTTTTTCTCAAAAGATATAATCCATTGATTAGTCTTCAAGTTGGTTTCTTTTCAATGTACAAGGGGTGATCAAAAAGTTTGCAAACTATCTCTATATCTACAAAACTACAGTTCAGATTAGAATGAAACATGGTGCACACATAACCATACACAAGTTCTATAAATAGCATATGCTAAATAAAGTTTTGTTCCTCGTTTGTGACGTCACAATGTGAAAATGACGTCACTATTTAGATCTCTTGTGACAAAAAATGGTTGTCTCAGTCGTACTCATTAAACAAACGACTGTACAATTTATTGCATATCTTAGAAACCCCTTTGCCAAAACATATAATAATTTGTACATAGTTTATGAAGGCAAATGCCTTACTATAAATTTAATCAATGATAGGATTGATCGTTTTAGTGAAGTAATGCAGATGGTTAAAAATGATACATATCATGTTGCTCAGTGAAAGCAAATTTGAAAAGATTTGTGTTTTTAATTAAGCAATTTGCTACCAAAGACCTCCAGTTAACACTTTGAAAAATAGTTGAATATTTCAACAATAATATAATTAATAAATACATAAGATATCGTTTACTTTCGATTTTAAACATATAATTAGATATGATAAAAAGGAGGCAACCGTGCTGTTTCCAACTTGAATAAACGTCTTTCCGGAGAAAGAAGATTTGTGTTTTAATGGTCGCCATGCTTATTTTCGGAAAGGATATTCTTTTATTACATTACTGTAATTTATTCATTGAATAAAAATGATATCCTGTCTCAGTGTGAAAGGATATCAAAATGATATCCTGTCACAGTGTTACGAATATCAGAAGTGCGGGAAAACTCTCGATCTCCCTTCCCATAACGATGATTGCTATGAAAAAAAGCTTCCTTGACCTAATGTAAGAAAATGGAGATAATAATCAATTCTGACAGCGAATAAAACTGTCAAAATTACCAAAAATATGTTGCTAAATTCATGTTTACCGGCGTGCTTTCACATCACATAGCTATGACGTATCAACCGCTCAACTATGACGTCAGGAGCCTATTCACTGTATTACAAAAAGACAGGCAAAGAAAAAATCAAAGATTTATTGTAATAAAAATGTAATAAACAGAAAATTCAATATTTTGTAGTTGAATATGGAATTTATTTCACGAGTGGGACAGGATTTTTTTTTATATTTTCACTCGTGCTTCGCACTCGTGAAAATATAAAAAAATCCTGTCCCACTCGTGAAATAAATTCCATATTCAACTACAAAACATTGAATATCCTCTATATCTACCCATTCTGTTGCCAAGATTTGACCATTTCTGACAAATGAACTGTTCTTATTATGAAAATTTACTTACATGGATAAGAATATAACACTCAGAAAAATCTTTCATTTTTTGTGACAAAACGCTACGGAGGGTGTCACGTGACCGCCAATATCACGTGATTCGCACATGCGCAGAACAGTGGCAGATGTGCATAAAAATTGGAGAGGACTAATTTAAAATATAATCAACACTGAAACCAAATATAGTTTCTTTTATGGAAGTTATTCAATTAGTTCACGAACTTTTTCATCACCCCTCGTATAATCAAAGCACACCAGGTGATGCGTATGAAACATTGTTTTTGGATCAAAAAGTCATCATTTCAGTAAGTTGAGAGTATCATTGGATTGAAGAGTTATAAGCGAAACATTTGTAAATTCGATTTCATTTTTTTTTCTTTCAAAACTATTTTTTTAATCCATTTTGTATATAATACTTTCTGATCTCCA